GTGCTGGGAATCGAACCCAGGTCCTCTGCAAGAACAGTCAGTGCTCTTAACCACTGAGCCATCTCTCCAGCCCTGGTGGAGCACTTTTGTAATCCCACTGCTGTGAAAATGAAGACAGGAGGATCCTTTGAACTCGTTGGCCACTGAGCCTTATGTCCTGTTGAGCAACCCTGGCAAAAAACAAGGTTGATTGCTTGTGAGACGTGAAACCAGAGATTGACCTCTGGCCTTCACACTTATGCATACACACACCAAAACCACAAATAAATAAAAGGAATTGTACTGTCTTGAGAGCTCCTTATTAATGTACTTGTATGTTTTTATTTCAGGATCATCAACCTAGAAGAAAGCTACGTAATAGAGCTCAGTCTTACGACATTCAAGCATGGAAGAAACAGTGTCAAGAGCTGTTAAATCTCATATTTCAGTGTGAAGATTCAGAGCCTTTCCGCCAGCCAGTAGATCTCCTTGAATATCCAGTAAGTATTTCTAAAAATATTTTCTTTACCTGTTCAATACATACCCTTAAAAAATTTTTTTTGATGTGTTTTTATTTTCTGTGTATGAGTGTTTTCCCTACATGTATATAAGTTCACCAGTGCATGCATTGCCCGCAGAGGCCAGAAAAGGACATCAGATTCCTCTGGAGCTGGAATTACGGATTGTTGTTAGCCACCATGTGAGTGCTAGGAACCAAACCTTGGTCCTCTGCAAGAGCAGCCAGTGCTCTTAACTGCTGAGTCTTTTATACAACTCTCAGTTATTTAAGTAAATTTTATGACTATTAATTTCCTCATTAGTTCATACATGCTCTGCTTGGTTACGTGGAAATCATCAGTTGTAAAGCGTGGTAAAATAGAAAGATCCTGAAATGTACCTCTAAAGAACTAGACTTCGTTTCTAGCTTTTCTCTTTCCAGTTTTGTAACTTTGAGCAAGTAACACTCTATGTGTTGGGGGTATGTTCACATGAGTACAGGTGCAAATTGGGGTAAATCTGGTTAACTTGAAACTCCCAAAAATTCTAGAATGAGCTGATGCTGTATTAACAGTGCTCTGATGTTCAGTTCTTTTTATGTTCAGAAACTAGGTTTCCCTTTCTTGCAAGTTTCCTTTAGATTTAAAAATAATTTACTGTTTGCCTGTTGCTAATAGTTGTTTGTGTTCTGAGCCTTTGTGTTTTTATTCTAGAAATAGAGGTATTAGCCCTCTGCAGAGGCAGATTAGGCCTTGGGCCATGGTCAGGAAAGAATTCAGAACTGAGACCCCACCCTAAAACAGCTATGGAAGATTTTCACTGTGATTAGAAATATAGCATACTTCCTTCAACAAAGAATGGTTCTAGTGTCAGAGAAGCCTCTCCCTTAGGTGTGTGCTATGTGTGGTCATAAAATCTAAATTTATATAACTCTTGTGGTATAGAAAATGGAATTCTGAAATCTGTTCAAATAACACATGAAAAGATTGGAAAATAGTAAAAGACCAAAATCAGGGAGAAAAAAAAGTACAACTCATATTCAGTGAAGTCAATTCAGAGAGTGTTTCTAACCATAATAATGGAATTAAATGCATAAACACGTTTTTGTTTTATTTTGAGACAAGGTCTTGCCTCTGCATCACAAGTGCTGGAATTATAGGCGTACACTGTCATGTCAGACTCAACTTGTAAATAGTCCATTGACCAAATAAGTCTTGAGAATTTTCGAAAAGCATATTGACCTTAATGAGAATGAATACCATACATATCAGAAGTCTAAAATCAGGAATATATGCTTACATCTCAGTAATACAGAAAAAGAGTAAAACTAAAGGAACCATAAGGAAAATAATGAAAAGGTGAAGTCAATGCTATTGTAAAGATGCAGTACATTTGTACTACTGAGTTATGTGGTAATTTTATGATCGTGCACCATAGAGTGATCACTTGGTGTTGCTCTTCTTTCACCTGCATGTTCTAGTATTTCCATTCTGTGGTCTTTATATCCAACTGACTTGGACAGTTCTATTTTTCTTTATGGAAAGGAGTGCATACTCTGACAACCACTTGTATTCATTATTCTTGATGATTCCAAAGTACCCGATTGTAAAATTATGAAACTTGAGCCGGGCGTGGTGGCACATGTCTTTAATCCTAGCACTCGGGAGGCAGAGGCAGGCTCTGAGTTCAAGGCCAGCCTGGTCTACACAGTGAGTTTCAGGACAGCTGGGGCTACAGGGAGACCCTGTCTTAAAAAGACCCCCCCAAAAAAAAGAAAATTATGAAACTTGAAATTACTATGCCTTAGGCTTCAGTATAGGTGGGATGCTAGCTACTTTCATTGGTTTTATTTCCTCATTTTATAGATGTTTTTCAATGAGTCAACATCCTTTAGAATTATAGATGGAATGAAGTTTTTAGGATTTTTGTTTTGCTTTGTTTTTTGAGTGACTTAATAGTTCAGAGACTGGCACTTGTCATTTAAAAAATCTTGTAAATTCCTGTGCTGCAAAATACTTTGTAGTGGTAATAGTAAGGCCAATACCACCTGTTTCCTTCTCTCCTAGGACTACAGAGACATCATTGACACACCAATGGACTTCGCCACTGTCAGAGAAACTTTAGAGGCTGGGAATTATGAGTCACCGATGGAGTTATGTAAAGATGTCAGGCTCATTTTTAGTAATTCTAAAGCATATACACCAAGCAAAAGATCAAGGGTATATCATTGAATTATTTCTATTGTTAAAAATATGTCAAATCCCTAAATGTTGTTTTTACTTAATACTCAGAGCACCATTAATTTTCTATTATGTTGTGAATGGTGTCTAGTCACTCTACTGTCCTTGTGATATAGCACTGACTATATTACAAATTGTCTTGTTAAATACTAGAGCCATGTAGGCTGAACTTTTCTACCTTTTCCATATTAATAGATAAAAACAATCAAGAATGATATGTAAAAATCCAACTATCACTTAACCTTTGTTTCCACAAAATATAACTTGCATAAATTGGGTAATATGACAATAAAGAGAGAACAAATACATAGTAGTTTTAGGTAGAAAGGGGGGAAATAGTTTCCAACTCCCAGGGACAGAGTATGGTAGAGTCTGCAGTGAGTAATCATGTCTTCGTCTAAATTCAGAGAACTTTCCTTTAAAAATTTCAAAGCTTGGAAAATTCTTAATCTACATTAAAAAATAATTTAATTGTAAAAGTGCTTTGGTTGGGTTTTCATCAGAAGAGACTGAGGAAACTACAGACAGCAATATTTAAATCCTAAGTATTTTACTAGAAAACTCTTTGAATTATGTTTCCTTTGAAGAATATTTGAGCAGTTTGTGGGGTTCTTTTTTCTTCTTAGATTTACAGCATGAGTTTACGCCTGTCTGCTTTCTTTGAAGAACACATTAGTTCAGTTTTATCAGATTATAAGTCTGCTCTTCGTTTTCATAAAAGAAATACCATAACCAAAAGGAGGAAGAAAAGGAACAGAAGCAGCTCCATTTCCAGCAGTGCTGCATCAAGGTATGGCTTTTGTTTTTTAAATGACATTACCTGATCTGTAACTTTGTCATCTCAATGATAGAACTTGGTGGTTTTTAATACTTCCTTTACTATTCCCTATATTGCAGAATGATATATTTGACATGCAAGTTCCTATGATGTGGAAGATTTTTAATCTTTTAAACTAAAGCTTTACTAGTGTAAGTGCTTAAATTCAAACTGCTAAATCTATACAGTAAAACAGCATTTTTAGGATAGTGATGGCATCATGCTTTCTGTCATATAACTTTAGCATTTACGATGATCCTTCACTAAATATTCACTTTTCAAAGGCTCACAACCATATGAAATCCACTACAAATCTCATATTTTAACATATTTCATAATAGTACAAATTTTGGATCCAACAGTATTATGAATCTTTACATCCATATGTAGCTATAAGAATGACTAACAATGTGATCTTACTTACAGCCCTGAAAGGAAAAAAAGGATCTTAAAACCCCAGATAAAGTCTGAAGTCTCTACCTCTTCATTCTCTGTACCTACACGGTCTGTACTACCAAGGCATAATGTTGCCCAGATAAATGGTAAAACAGAATCCACTTCTGTGGTTCGAACCAGAAGCAACCGCGTGATTGTAGATCCAGTTATTACTGAGCAGCCATCGACATCATCAGCCACAAAAGCTTTTATTTCAAAAACTAATACTAATACGTCAGCCATGCCAGGAAAAACAAGTAAGACTTAATTACAGCTTCTACTCTGAGGTTAAGGTGTTTTGTTGTTGTTGTTGTTTTTAAGAGCTTTTAATTTGCCATGGGTTTTTAATAATCACCTGAATCTGCTGTTTTTGCTTTCTTTATTGGATTTCCTATATTTTAGAAAGTGTTTTTAGCTAGGTAGGTGGCTTATGCCTTTAATCTCAGCACTCCGGAGGCAGAGGCAGGCAGATCTCTGTGAGATGCCAGCTAGAGAAACAGAAAAACCCTGTCTCAAAACAAACAACAAAATGTGTTTTTAAATAGGAAAAAGGAAACTGAGGTTTAGGAATATCTGTAGACTAAAACAACAGCAAACTGCCTGGGTTTTAAATCCCATACCTAGACTTGCTGGCAGTTCACCAAGGCTTGGTTTCATGACTTTGAACTGAGGAAAAAGCTTCTAGATGGGCTCTACCTGTTAAGAGTCTCTTGTTGCCTTTTCTTATTCAAAAGTAGATTCCTGGTCTTAGGATGGAGAGTACTTGCCTAGCATGCATCCATTCCCAGCAGGACAGAAAAGAAAGATTTCCTGGGGAACCTTTTTAATATCACACAGGTTTGGTTCTCTTGGCTAGTTGAAGCAGTTCAGTTTAGAAGCAATGACAGACCTTCTGCTTATTTTGGGGTTCAAGAAGTCTTAGCTGCTAATCTTTTTATATTTGTGTTCTAGTACTAGAGAATTCTGTGAAACATTCCAAAGCCTTGAATATGCTTTCAAACCCTGGTCAGTCCACATTTAGTCATGGTACTAGAAATAGTTCTGCAAAAGAAAACATGGAAAAGGAAAAACCAGTCAAACGTAAGATGAAATCATCTGTACTCTCAAAGGCATCTACACTTCCAAAGTCATCAGCTGTTATTAATCAAGGTAAGATGCTACTTATAACTGAGTATGGTGGTGTGCAACTGTACAGTAGGGAGTCTGGGACAGTACAAGTCTGAGGCCAAGCCAGTGTAGTAAGACCTAGCCTCAAAAAAAGTAAAATAAAAGCGGTACTTTTAATCTTTTCAGATAAAGTAGATCCTTCTTATAAATACTGTTTGTATAGGAGTTAGCCTTTATTTTCACCTTTAAATTGTCCATTTGAAGATCAGTTATACTTTGTATAACTTGAGAAATTTAGTGACTTTCAAAGACTTGTATAAAAAGTAAACCATTGTATTAAAGTTTAAAAGACAAGGAAAGCTCACTGTGTGGAAGTAAAAACATAGAATTAAAGGCTTTCAGTGTTATACTAGTATCTAACTCCATTATTACAAACCTAAAGAAAGGAGCCAAAGAGATGGCTCAGCAGTTAAGAGTGCTTCCTTCTCCTCAAGAGGACCAAGGTTCAGTTCCCAGCATCTACAGGCTGGCTCGCAAGTGTCTGTAACTCGAGTTCTTCTGATCTCTGCAGGCCCTGCATGCATGTTGTGTACTTAATCCAGGCAAAACACTCATAAGATAAAAATTTAAAAAAAGAAAAAAAAATCTAAAGATATCCTCCAAGCTTAAATTAAATGGCATTTTATTAACCCAGTACAGCATTCTTTACCCATCTAGAAAAAAAAATGCATACTATTACAAACTGTTATTGTAGATTATAGGTCATAAAATATAGCTCACTGACCTTTGCTAAATGGTAGTTAGCTAGTGTACATCTTTGCTTTTTTCTTCCTTCTTTTCAAGGTCTTTTTTT